TACATATTAATTACCTAATTTGCATAATTAACCAATTTTAAGCTTTCACACTGATATCTAAAGTACTAATTATTCCATTTCAATGAAACTTAGTACAAAGATGCTCTAGGACAATGTACAAACCTAATTAGTTTGGGGTAAAAATCTGTTCATATTAATTCCCTAATAAGCATAATAATTCATAATTTTTTGGTTCTAATCACATTTCAATTAAACTTGGAAACATAGATTTTCTGTTACATTGCGCAGACCTCATTAGTTTTACACTCAAATCTGTTCATATTAATTTTCTGATTTGCATAATTAGTTTTCAGCTAAGTAATTTCGAATTATATTTAATGTGTCTCCAATACTCTCAGCACATGGGAGTTCTTTCTAAGCTTTCTTTGATTTTACATGTTTCAGCTTAAGTTTTGTACAAAGACAGTATACCAATAGATGAACATTATTTTTGTAATTTGATTCAATATGACTGCCCAATGCCCAATTCTCGTGTAAAAGCACTAAATCATAATTTTTTACAAATCCATCTCAATCTAATCTCAATGACTTCATCAGCATCAAATTGTATGTCAGATCACAAAATTTTGAACAAGGACTGTGTCATTAACAAAGACTTGTTACTTGTCATCTCCCTTCTCTCTGCCATGCTTAGCAGATTCTGTTTAAATTTGGTACAAAGGCAAAATCTTGTTTGTCCCAATACAATTGTCTTGACATTATTTCCTTTCCCCTTTGTGTCCTCTAGTAGAAGGCTGCTTGTTTCAGATACTAGTTTCTGACTAGTCTGCAAATGAGACATCAAAATACATGCATTCATTTCGCAGTGTGATTCATAATAACCTGAACAGATTTCATGGTTTCATCCATTCTAATGTAATGATTTGTGTTTCCGTGACTGTCAATTCATGTTTTATATTTTCATTTCAGGAAACTGAGGAGTTTTTATCCAATCTAGTGGTAAACAAAACTGTGTATGCACGCATAGACAGACTGGAAGGTATCGTCAATTTTTCACAGCACAAGGACCCTAATGATATTCTAAATGAATGGTCTTATAATCTGACACAGCTAATGCAGTTAGTCAACAAAACCACACATCTCATCAACAAAGAAGAAATGGTCCATCAATTCCACCAGTGATGAACTCAACCCGAACTAGCTCAACTTCCAGTAACTATTTCTCTTCACTGTTGCATCAGAAACTATTATCATTTCACCTGCTCGCTTTCTTTATTATGTGTTATAGCAAAAATATTGTTCAGAGTTTGTAAGCAATGTCAAAATGACATTTTTGTACTAATCATTTTCAGACGGGAAAGGTAATTTGTATATTTCAACATTTATTAGAAACTCTCGCGATGTGTAATTTCTTTTAATAGTACCATGAATCCTACCATATTTGCTCTTTTAGAAGTGAAATTGTTAGCTTTAATTTGCAAGCAAATTTTATTTCAAATGTGATGTGGACTGTTTGAACAGTTCATGTTTGTACTTCTTAATAGCAAATGTGTTACTGATTCTAAATTAGAAAGTGTAACATAATGGTTTTATTTATTGTCATAGTCCTATCATTGTAGACTATAAACAGAGTATACAAATAGTGTGATAAACGCCATTCTTAAGGTACTGCGCTGATAATGGTTGTCATGTGTTGGCAGATAGTTTAATAAAAACTTCCATACGCACCTACTGGTATGACATGGTATTGTATAAAACACGTCACCTGTAATGTAATATAACCATCCTACAACAGTAATTTTTGTTCGTACTTGAGATTCAGTGTCATATAGTCCCTAAGCTTACCATGATACTGACAGGATTTCAGGGGGACACCACTAGTTGAGTCTAATCTTACAACGTTACTGGATGAACAGTTGACAAACTAAGTGTGTAAACAACATGAACAGTGCCACACGATTCTAAGTTTTTGGAAGAATGGTCGACTAGCAATGGACAATTTATTACATCGTTGCGTGTTTATATTTACATCAAGTTGAAGTGAGATGTCTATCCTTATCAACAGTCTACATGCCATTTGTTTTTTTAGTTTGGCAACATATGATGTTATGACTGTCGCATGTTTGGAGTTTCATGTTTACAAAGCTTTACCACAATATACTTGATTAACTGAAGGGAGTTGCTCTGATTACAATAAATGTCAATTTTGTTAATGTCTTGCATCCTTTAGTAATTGTGACAATGAGCACTATAAACCCCCATGCCCACCCAATAAATAAACGAGAGCTTAGTCGTCCCCACAGGTATAGGTTCCAGTTTTAGGGTTGCTTAGTATTTAAACCGAGGATGAGAATAGGCCGACAAAGTCTTGTATATTATACTATTTTGTTAACAATAGTTTGTTTATTAAACTATGGTTGAGAATTTGTTTGTCATCGTTTTTTAGTCCCAGTTTGAAAATGAAAAGTCTGAAAATGACCTTTGTGCGTCTGTACATGCATCTGTTTGCCCACACCTGTATCTCAGACATGTCTGGGCTGATTTTATTTAAATATCATACCAGCCATTTTAGTGCTAAAAATTCATCAAAATCAAGCATTTCTGCCACTCTGAAACCGGATCTCAGTCTAATACTAGTAATTGTTTCTTTATGCATGTCATTTTTTCAGATCTGATTGAAAATGGGTGACTGCAGCAATTTTTTTCAAACATACAGTTTCAGGGTCCTATCTCTGACATGCTTTAATTAAAGAATTCAAAATTGACGTGTGCATCACACATGTACATAAGCACATGCATTTGTTTCTTAATCTAATTCAAGATGGCCGAATGGCAGCCATTTTAGTGCAAAATTCATCTAAATAGAGCATTTCTGCTATGACATATTTCATTGAAATTTGGCATGTCCGTTAAACATTATGGTTTTTGATGCACATCTTGTCTTTTTCCCCTTTTTCAAAATGGCTGACTAATTGTCATTTTGTTTTTTACAACTGCATTTTTTGGAGTCAATTTTGGCAACATTGCTGGGACCGGTTATGTTCAAACTTTACACATGCATTATGAATATCATGGGCAGAATAAAGGAAAGAATCTAACAAGTAAACTGGGTTCGCTGGATGAGGATTTTTCATTGAGTCTGGATGGATGGATGGATGTGCGAAACTTCACAAACAAAGCTGCATTGTTTGGGGTGGTTTTTGTTACCTGCCTTGAGTGTAGATGACAATTTGTCCATGTAAGGTTGATCCACCAAAAATATGTAAATTAGCTACCAAAAACTTGATTAAAAAAAAATTAAATGCCCATGACATTGCACATGCATTGAGTGACCCTTGTCAAATTTATTATTTTATGATATCTTCAATTATTGGCAAAAAATGCTATTTTCGACTTCTTGAAAACTACTATCTCAATTGCTTTGATATTTGCCTTAAATGGACCTCTACTAGATTTTTTATTTTTGGCAAGTTTTTTTTTAAACTACTAGCTGATTGCATTGACATTTAAGGTGTACATTATTTTTATTTTGTTATGGGTAGGATTACTTAACTTGTCTACAACAATGTCCTTGTAAGACTGCATAGTTATTTTAACGATTGGCTTGTTTTTTCCCTATAATTTAAATCTTTCTACTTGCTGAAATCAGATTTTTCCTTTTGTTCTAGGAATGTGTGGGTTGTCCATCTCTTCACAAGAGTGGTATATCCTTGCATGGGGTGAAAAACGGAATAAAACTGGAGTGATTTTGTATTCCTTGTACAATCATCCATTAGCTCATTTGTCTACCAGTTGGCTTATAAAAATTCTTTACAGTATTGCAAAATTCTATGCTGAACTATTTGGCTAATTATAAATTATTTTCAACATAGGGTAGGTCCTATGTTTGACACATTTCAGTCGCAAACACTTGGATACAAATTTCTCATTTACGTCAATGGAAACTTTGATAATATATAGTGTCATCTCAAACACTTTTATTTCATTGTAAGGCAAATACACAAGAATAATGATAAAGCAATTATAACTTCATAAATGTCTGACCAACAATACGTAATATGCTAGCCTTGTTCTGTGCAGAAAAAAATAGAAATGTATTTGTTGAATGTTCAATCATTACCCTGAAATATATTACGAGTGAATTTCGTAGCATGACCTAATTTGCAACCTGGCAACTGAAAAATGTACAATGGTCATATTTGGCATATGATGATAATTTATTTGCACCCTACATAAAATGTCAAATAACATTTATTTTAACCAATTTTGGGGTTTTGCAAATATTTTATTAACCCCTAAGTGTTTATTAAACCTGTCTCTAAATATTAAAATGTCAATTAAATCCATTGAGCACTAAAGTTACATTTGCATGGATGTATTCCCAAATACTGATCAAAACCTATAGCTGATGGAATATTATCTCCATGTGATCCAAAATGACGGTGCTCAAGGAATTAAAGAGACACAAATCTATATATCACTATCTAGCATGTACTCATGACAATATTGACGTCACCAAGATTCAAAAGTTATAAATCTATATTTTTTGAAGGCTTAACACCACACATAAGAGCATTTCTCAATTTTTGCCAGAAAACTTGTTGTTTCTCAGGACTATTTCCTGGCCATTCTAAGTAGGTTTTTCTTTTCATTAACTTGTGCATTTTCTCATACTTTGTGAGTTTTTTGTCTGGCACTTTTTTGAGCAATACTAGAATGAGTACATCTTTGTGATCATCAAATAGTCGATGGAGTGCCATCGTTTGCTCATATTTACACCATTCACTTTCAAGAAAGTGTTCAGATATAACACAAATAGTCTTTCTGCTTTCTGCAATACACTCGATAATGTTATCCACAATAGCTTTCCCACCTGTGAAATCTCTTTCATGGTAACACATTTTAAACTTTGGTGAGCCATTTTCCTCCAACTCTGGCAGAAGTTTCTGAATAATCCATTCTTCATCCTTGCTACTGTGCGAGACAAATGCGTCGTAGCGGTATTCTGCATCTTGTCCTTCAAGTGGTGTATAGTTCCTGAAACGTGCTTTTATAAGCAGAAATCGAAATTTTATATGCCATCGATATCTGATACCAGTGGCAATGAGAATCATGACTACAACAGCAATGGCTATTATAATACCCCAGAACCACGTCGGGGGGATTCCATCACAGGTCCACCGTGATGGCATATATGACAATACAGGCTGTTTAGACATAGACGGTGGTGAGAAGCATTCATATTTCTCAACATCCACAATGTCAATGTCTGTTTTACCAATCCACAACCTAAACCATTCAAGGTCACAGCTGCAGGAGAAAGGATTGAAGTTCATGCTCAAGACTTTCAGGGATGGAAGAACGTAGGCAAGGTTAGACTGATTGACCAAGGTAAACATATTATTGTGCAGATAAAGATTTTGAAGTTTTCGTGTATTATTGAAAAGTTCATCAGGGAGACGATTTAATTTATTATATATTAAACTAACATACTTTAGAGAGTGGAGATCCTGAAAAGCCATTGGGGGAATGTTATCTAACCCATTCCAGCCTAAATGCAAGTTCTGGAGTTTAGTGAGATTTCGTAGCATAAAGACTGGGCCTCCTGAGTGAGTCTTCTTCCAGAGTAAAACTAAGTTATTGTGTTGTAGATAAAGCGTTTCAAGCGATTTTAAGTCATCAAAGAAAGGAACAGTGTCCATATTGTTGTTACTTAAATCAAGGGTTTTCAGAAGAGTCAAGTTTGTGAATGGAGAAAGCTTTGAAGGGTCAATAGTAAGCAGATTGAGGTTGAGATATAAATATTTAAGGGTTGGCATGATAGAAAATGTCCCTGGACTTAAATGTATATGTTTGTTTTTCCCCAAGTCTAACAATTTAATGTTCACAAGACCCTGAAAACATGAATTGTTGAGTGTTCCATCAATACTATTATTGTACATTTTCAAATTCTCAAGACGATCAAATCCACTGAAGGCTCCGGTTTCGATCTTGTTGATATTACTGTTTCTAAGATACAGATAAGTGATCGGCAAAGGAATGCCCTCTGAGAACATGTTCTTTTTCAAAATCGTTATGTTATTCTGATTCAGTGATAATTGCTCAAGTGATTTAAGTTCCAGGAATATCTTGTTGTTGAAACCTGTTAGACCATTTGCATCAAGATTAAGATACTTAAGTTTACCAAGCCCATGGAATGTGTCTTGGTTTTCAATCACAGTGATCTTGTTCAAAGAAAGATCTAAGACCGATAACGTCTCTGTGTCCCATCCTTCAAATGTTCCATTGTTTAGGCGAGTAAGATTCAGATTCTGTAGCTTTAATTCTTGTAAATGTTTACCCTTGAGGTTGCCAACTAGGCTCTTCACCAACACAGATGAATTTTTAGCAAAGCTCTCGCTTATGTTGAAGCTCTTTATAGTACATCCTTGGAAGACGTCATCTTCAATAACTGTGATATTATTGCACGATATGTCTAATGTATTAAGGGATGATCCATTCAATCCAGCAAAATCATCTCTACGAAGACCATCAATTATATTTCTGGACAAGTTCAGCATTTTTAAATCAGTCAAATTCAAATGTTGTCCCAGATTAACAGATTTTAACTTGTTTTGTGCTAAGTTGAGATAAGAAAGCTTGTTCAGTCCAAAGAGAAGTTGGGTTTTGCTGGAATCAATCAAGTTATGACTGAGATCAAGCCGAGTGAGTTCTGTCAGCATTCTGAATGTTGCAGGTGGTAGTGACTTTCCAATTTCATTATGACCCAGAAGTAGTTCTTTAAGGCGTGGCATCGATGCGAAAGCAGCATCATCGATGTGTGAAAGGCTATTGTATGACAAATCCAGAAACTCAAGCTTGGGAAGACCTTTGAATGATATAGCTGTGAGTCTTGCAATACTGTTGTGACACAATATAAGACGTTTAGTATTTCTTGGCAGGCCATGTGGAATAGTCATAAGTGTTTTGTGGCTGCAGTCAACGGTCAATTCCTTGTACTTACATATAGGTTCCGGGTTTGGTAACATGTATAAATTCACGATGCCAAACATGTATATGTGAACTATCAGCAAACAAATGGAAGCGTTCATAACCGTCATATTAACAGCTGTCACATAGACCAGTTACGGATAACATGTGGTGATGCCAACCAACACTGCAAGGTCCGGGATTTTGATGACACAACTGATAGACCTTTTGACACAAATGAGATAATTCAGGTATGAGTCACAATTACTTCACCTATGACCTTTAGCAATCTGGAATGGAATTGAATAACATTGAGTTAATTAATGCACAATATAACACAGAAATATAAAAGAACATAAATAAGTTTGTAAATAAGCTTGTATTGTATTGCTTATATGCCCAGTCGTAGTGTAGTATATAAATTGACAACACAGATACTCAATACAGTCAAACCTGTGTTAACGACCACCTGTGCAGAGCGGCCACCTGCTCATAGCGACCACCTTAGTACAGTCCCTTCGCAATTTACACGTTAAAGACACTGGATATAGCGACCACCTGTCCAACGCGACCAGCGACCACCCTATTCTATCCCTATTCACACTTTAACCTTTGTATAACGACCACCAACATTTCCATCAGACGGTCTCAGCAAAAACACAATAGCTACTTGCGAATCGCTAACAGGAAAGTGGCCATATGTTACGTTCAGATTACCGAGTACGCAATCTTTAGGGATTAGTCAGTTACTTCGACCTAGGG